TTGCTGTCCGTGTGCCGCGTCCCTATCCGCGGTCTCCGTCAAGGTTTCTAACATCTCCCTAAACTGGAACCTATCCTCTTCGGACGAATGGCGATTAGAGCTGCAATTTGGCATAGTAGCATGCAGATTCACGTCAAAGCAGAAGGGAGATTGGTACTATCGAGGCACGGCGGTTACTCTCTCCGGTTTTGGCAACAAAAGGGCCAAGATGGTCCCTCAGCGAGTTCAGGGCCGGAAGATGATCGCTGTAGCTGCTACTAACAGGATTCCCAGGGAGGTCTCGTTTTCGGATGGGATAAGAGGAATGTAGTCGATCGGACTTGTCTGACGCAAGACCATCCGCGCGCAGAATAGTTTAGAGGTGCAAACTGATGACCTGCGACCTTGTGACGAAATAAAACTTGTCTAAACAAAGTTCTAGCTGGTATCGCCTTGTTCCGTTTTAGACATGTTTAAATATATATATTTTAAATTCAGTTTCTCAAAACTAAAAAATATTTTCAAAGTCAAAAAAACATAATAAATGCCAAATTTCTTTGACTACAGAAGGTCATTATGGGAAATGTTAAATAACAAATAAATACAAAATTAAATTCAAATTTAAATTAGCTGAAAGTAAATGAAGATGTTCTTTTTATAATGGTATATTTTCTCATTAAATTTAATTATTTTTAGAATTGAAAAATGTGATAGGATATCATATCCTGTTTGTATCATGTTTCTATAAATATAATTTATTAGTGTTCTTAGAAATTTAAATTAAATATGTTTATTTATTCTTATATAAGTATATCTATAATTTATTTTATTTATTTTATACTTTTTTCAAATGAAATACATTTTTAATTTCATGTAAAGTTAATTGAGTATCATACAATCAATTTTAATTTTTAGTTTTAATAATTTTACATTATATTGTGTACAGTACATATATACTATATATAATACCATATAATATAAATATACCAATATACCAATGTATATATTATATTGATAAATCTTTTCTAATCGAAAGACTACATTCTATTTCAGAGAGATTACATAAGGTCGCATATTATATTACAGGCTATAGAAGCACAGTATATATTCTATATTTAACGCATAAGAGGTATGCACAAAAATATACTATTTTACTTTCCCGACTGTTATATAGAGGAGAGGAGGATATTATGGAATACCATTTACATTTCTAAAAATAACTTTACTTGTGTTTGAATAAAAATCCCAAAATCATCATGAGTACATAATATAACTGATTGTAATGAACTGTCACTTGTAAAAAAAATACTATTTATTTTGTTGTTATAAAAAAATGTATTTAAAAAAGTCACAAATGGAGGGTAATATGGAATAGGTGGTTTAAACCATTGAAAAACAAATTAGACTTCATAAAACATAGTTATTTTTAATTATAAAAACCATATTTTTAAGATTATGTGCATGTCATTCCTGCTTCGAGTCTATTTACAAAAGTCACAGATATAATTTTCTTTCTCTGCTCCTGTACAATCAAGGTGAGTCCACAGAGAACAGCTGAAGCATTGAATTCAAATTTTCCCTCGTTCATCTTCGGAGAATTTTCCGTTACAGAAGATACATTCAGCATCTTCGTTTTCTGGTTCTTTAGTTGATGGCATAAAGTCCATTACAGATGATACATCAGAATGGAACGATTCATTGCTGCAAACACTAGTCATCTCTAGTAGGTTTAGGTCTAAAAGGTCGGTCTAAGTTTAATTTCTTAACAGGTGGTCTTTGAATGTTCGGTTTCTTTTGTTGTTTTGAAGCTTCTGGTTCCTTCTTTTTGTCCTTTTCTTTCAGTTTATCCATTTATCCTAGTATTCCATAATACCCGACACGCCATCTTGGAAAATGAACCTTTAAACTAATGAACAAAACTGGCACATTGTCGGCTAAAAAACGACTACAGTATAACAAACTACAATTCTTTCAGTGTACATTATGCTTAACATCAATGTTCAAGTCACATGTGTACTAGTAGGTTAAAGTATTTGAAAACTTGCCTGCAAAAACTATTGAAAATCACAAAACACACTTTGTTCTGTAGCGAGTGGTACGACGACAACAAGCGGTCAACTCTCACTGCACTGCATCGTGGGAGTCTTTCTTGAGTAGTTCGTGGTATTCCCACGTAATAGCAGCAACAAACAGAGCCGAAACCTCGGTATTCCATATTACCCGACTATTCCATAATCCCCTTCTTTCCTCTATAACAGAAGGAAAATATGGTGATCGATCAGAAATTGAACACCCCAAGATTTTTACATTTAAAAACTCAGGGAACCTTGAAACTTCCAGGAAAAAATAGAGGATTTTTCTATATGTATGGATGTAAGGGTGCGACTATGCAGACGCGAATTTAGTAGGGAGCGACAGGTTGCGAGCGTAGTTCTCGCAATGGAAAATCATGCAGAAGCGAGAAGCGAGAAATCTCGTGGTGAGAGCGAATTTTCGGCTCTCGCACATATCCGACAGGGTTTGATATTCATCGCGTATCGCCTCTTCTCGCTGAATACTGAGCATCTTTCATCAATTGTATATACATAAACAGTTTGGTTTTTTCAAACTATGGATATACATAAAGTAATATGAATTCTATTTTATCAACGAATTACAATAAGATTATTTATCCCTTCGCTGTTTGCAGTCAGGAGGAACACTGTATTTTCGTTTTTTTTTTTTTGTGTTCATTATGAAGTAATCCTAATAACAAAAGTTTTTCTTCGCTAGTAGTAAGCGTCATAGTTGAACCATTTTGATTTTTACTTCCATATAGTGCAATAGTTCACTTTTCTTTGTGACGAGTTCAACCCGAACATGTGACGTCATCATCTCCACACTACTTTCGCTCGCGTCGGTGTAGTCGTACTGTATGTACTTAACGAGAGCGAGAAATGTCATCACCTCTTCTCACCACAAATTCTCGCTCGCTCGCGTCTGCACAGTCGCATCTTAAGTGTGCGTGTAGTGCCCGTGCCAGGTTATAATACGCCCTAGGCAAAGTTTCAAGTGCGCCCCTTATTACACAATTTGGATATTTTTTAAATATAAAATATATTTTATATTTAATATATATAATATATAAATAACATATAATTTAAATATTAAAAAATAATAATTATTTTGGCATGCTTTATTAATAATATACAAAGTACTGTACGTAATATACAATATGTAATCCTTCTAAAACCGGAGCCTTTTTTTCTTTTTAAATTAATTGCAAAATTCTGTTATAATTCATTTACGAAAAAATTATAAAATATCGAAATTTAATATTTTAAAATATTTACGTTAACTGAATTTCAAATAGCGGTAAGTTCAAATCGTTTAGGTAAGCAACAAAAAAATCAAGAGTTAGGTAGTAAAATAGTGTGATGTGTGAGAAATGAGGAAAAAGAATCGATAACTAAACAATTATTTATTGTGACATCGTCACAATGCCGGTCTGCATTTTTAATCATATTTTTAATTTATTTAATTTAAAATATATGCTCTCCATCTCAAATTAGTGGCTTGCCCAGTACATCATATTTTTTTCTTTACAATAGAGTTGTGTCAGTCATCTATCTAACTCCTTTCAGGGGAAAATGTTTGAATTGAAATAACGTAACTTCCAGTTTGCATAGGAAGTTTGTATATAGTTAATCCTGGCCGCCTAAGGTTTCCATATCTGGTTTCGTCTTTTATCTATCTAACTCCGTTCTTAAGATTAAAAAAGGACAGACAAACAGACAGCCAACGACAATCGAAATTTATAAGCCTACAATTTTTTTCAAATTACAGCTCAATCATATATCACTATTTAATTTAAAATATTAATGAAGTATGAATAAAGCATAGTTTGAGATTTTTCGCCCTAGAAGGTTGCCTAATTTTCTCAAAGTGTTTAAAGGTCGAGGGATAGGAGATAGAGAAGGCGGGTCGTGTCATGTTTCGAATAGGGTTGGACTTAATGAACATTTTATTCGTTAATTAGAATTTTTTCTTTTTTTTAAATAAAACTCACCTCTACCCTTATAATTAAATGTTTTGCTATTTTATAATAATTAATTATATAAAAGGTTTTAAAAATGTAATATAAGAGTGAAGCCACACGCAATTATAAATAATTTTACCGGGGAATTACACAACTCGTACTGGATTTTTATATTTTGTCAGGTTACAGGTTTCTCACTTCTGAGCTAGCTAGCATGTCACGATGATATTTCTTTAATTCTGTTCCATCATTATTATAACAATACAAATCAAATTCTTAGAATTTAGTAGACTTTAAAAAACAAGTGTGTATTTATGGCAAAATATTTTAAACTCATAACAGATCTTTTACTAGAGGACATTGCATTGCGTTTTGGAGAACCTTAGAGTTTTAATTCTTCATGTAAATAAATTTCTGTCGGAACTACCACGATAATTACATTCATACAATAATAAAACATTTATAAATTGTAATATAATTATAAAATTAGTTTCTGAGCTTCAACAATAGCTTGTTAGCAATTTTTGTGATTATTTTCAGTATCATTGAAATATATTATGGGTGTTTCTATTAGGCGGGATCGAGTTGGATTCTCTCTTCTTTTTCCGTGAAGAATTATCTGAAAAAACACAGGCTAAACAGATAAAAATAACATTGAAATAATCCTCAATATATTTTGTATTTGACTCTTCAGAAATCGAATCGAATATAAAAACGGCCTTCTTGATCTTTTCTTATTTATTCTTAATGTTAATAAACGAAGAATTATCTGAATAAAGTGGGAAATTTCTTAAAAAAAACTATTTTTTTGCCTTGAAAAATAAATTCAATTTTTTTCATTTTTTTAATATATAATATTTTAGAGTGCGATAAAATAGTGTCATCACTATTTTACAAAATTGTATTATCAAAATGCTTCAAAATTAAAAAAAAATATCTGCACTGGAAAGAATTGTCCGCATTCTGACAATTTTATGTTTTATTTTACCAAAACAAACTAATAAAGAAATAGTAGTGAGAGGGCGCTTTTCGTGTAAAGCAGAAGTTTAGAAAATTCTAGATCTTTTGTTCGATCGCTGTACGAGCCGTTAATGGAGACCGAAAGCGAAACGCCAGTTCAAGTAGAGATGAAAGAAGACGAAGGAATTGATATAACTCCTTCGCAAGATGGTGGAGTTCTTAAAAAAATAATTCGTGAAGGTACAGGAGAAGAAAGTCCGTCTACTGGAGAGAAGGTATTCGCCCATTATGTAGGGAAACTATTAGATGGAACTGTCTTCGACAGTAGCAAAGAAAGAGGACTTTTCGAATTTACTTTGGGAAAAGGTTTATATCATTCTCTTCATTCTGATTGATTTGATATATTTCTAATGATCCAAAAAATAATCTTAATGTGTATGGTTTTCTTTATTATATGAATTTAAATGTATTCAAAAGTTCAGAAAAATTGCTTTAACATAAGAATATTAATATAAACAAACAGTAACTTAGAGACAATTTGGTTTATTGGATAAAGTTTATATAATATTGTATAATAGGGCCTATAACAGCAACAATTATCAAGAAAACTTTGAAAGATATTTTGGCTGCATTGTCTTTATCGGGAATGGATAACCTTTTTCTATGTAAGGGCCACATTTAAAACGTTTGAACTGACATGGGTCGCACACGAGAGAAAAAATAAAACTGTGGGTAAATCGCAATTATTTATTCATATATGATTATAAATTAACATAAGTATACTTAATTTGATTTCTGGAACTGGTGTGATCTTAATATATCCGAAATATTTGATTGAATATTAGTTTTGTTGTGAGTCTGTTAGACAATTTCTTGTTTTACTTTTTACTAAGTTCATTGCAGAAAAAACTGTTCGCAACATACATACTGTTGTAAAAAATAATGATAGAATTCTTGTGGTATACTTCCTTACGGTGGGAAATTGGTATATTTTTTTAATATTTTGTGTGCCACAGGTTGCCCACTATTATTAGATATACTGAAAATAAAATCTAAAGCTATGATCATTGTGTTTTGTTTCAAAGGTATTGGGTCTTTTGTTCAACTTTCATAATAAAATAACATCTTGGACTTCCAGCAATATAGTATTTTAATATCTCACTAACATTTTCAATCAGCCTAACTGATCATCCTCAGATGAAATGAAGTCATATATTACATTAGAACAAACTGCAAATGAAACATTTGAGGAAGAACACATATCTAAAAGCATTACAAAAGCTTTACAAAGTTGGAAAAAAAAAAAATGTTTTTATTTTTGATCTTTAAAAAACTGCATTGCTGGAAGTCTAAGATATTTTATTGCATTGAATAACAATACATTTTGTTATTCAATGCAATAAAATATATAACAATAGCCAGATGGCTGCAAACTATGGTATTGTCCTATCATTATTTGGATCCAAGTTTGAATCCATCCCAGATCATAATTTACAAAGGGAATGTTGCAAGTACCGGTACATGTTCTCCATCCTCACCCATATTGAGTGATCTTTATTGTGGGTGAGAGTTGTCTGTAATGTGAAATAATGGGATCATACAGCTTTAATCTGAAATCTTACATTAACAATCAATCACTGATGATCAAAAATATATTTTACTGAAAATTTTTAACTTTTTTACTGTTTTATTAGAAAAGTGTTTCCCCCCTTTCTTTTTCAAAAGTTTATTTAAAAAATTGGATAAACAGTAGTTACTTAGTTATAACTCATAACTAGAGCAACTATATATAAAATACATTTTGATAATCTAATTTTTCTGATACATTCTGGAATTGGAATAATAAAAATTTTTAATCAATCATTAACACTTACACAGAGAATATCTGGATAGAGCCCAAAACAACAAATGAATTAAATGAATGGGATTGTGTAATACTAAGATCATTGTATTCTCTAAAACATTAATAGAAGCATAGGAAAAATATAAATAAAGACTTATTCTTAGTGATAGTATTGAAATATATAATAATTTTACAGATATTTATACAAATATTTAGAAAAATATGCAGTTTTCCTTTTTTAGTCCATCTGCTTCAAACAATTAATGAAACATATATTTAATTTAATTTTTTTCCACTAAATTATCTGAATTTGCTAATTTAAAAAAAATCTATAATTAGATTTATTCTTAATCGACAGCAATTCCAAAAACAAACTTTGAAGGCAGAGATTAAAGGGGGGAAAACTGTACTTTTACTAGAAAATAAGTAGACAAAGCATATAAACCTATGTAATTTACAATTATGCAAAAATTGCATTCTGATTTTGGGGAAAATGCACTCATTGATACTTGAACCAGTGATCCTATGTGAGTCAGGCACTAAGCTGTTGAATCATGCAATGTTCGGAAAAATGGTTTGCAAATCATACTCAAGTTATTTGGGATTTTTTTTAACTTTGATTTTATCAAAAATGTTTGAGAAGTGCATTTTCTCCCTTTACCTAATAAAGATTCAAATAAAAGTTTATCCACATAAGCAATATTATTGAAATTTATGGGGAAATATAGAAAAGTAGGAATTTTATCTGAATTTTTTGGCACTTACATTGTATAGTGTGTTGGTGTTTGATACAAATTGCAAAAACATGCAGAACATAGAAATGTCACAGCTCACTGTAAGAAATATATATGTCGTCATCCATCTTTCAAGTCTTCATGTAACAGAAATAATCCTTCATTAAAATGCCAGTCTTTTAAAACTTCAGTAATTTCTTCAGCAAGTTTTTCTCCCAAAACTATTGCATTCATGCTTACTGATTTATTTGCTTGTCCCTTTATAATTAACTTCTCTAAATTTTTAAAGCATCTGTAATATTTTGTTTGTCATAGTAAGTTAGAAATGCATACTTGTCATTTATGTTGTCAAAGGTTTTGAAAGACACTCCACTACATGTTCATCCATGATTGCAGCTACTACAGTAATCTTAAGAGCAGAAACTGTAAGCTTTACTTACTATGTCGCTACAACTGTTGCATAACTTTTTTCTGATTTTTATAGTTCTATTAGCATATAATTTTAAACATCAATATATTGAAAACTAAGGCCCATTGAACGAAGTGCAATGGATGTGAAACATGGATAAATTATTTTTGACAGACAGAAAAGTACATTCGCAATTTTGAAGCTCATTGAAATCCACAATACCATGACCAACCATATCCTCTCTTCATTAGTAATATAAATAATAACATACAGTAGCTATATTCAAAAATTGCTGTACAAAATATTCTCTTGGGAAAATTTTTTTAGGTAGTAATGAAATTGCATAATTATGTAAAATAAGATTGCAACTAAGCTGTAAAATAGATTCTAATTATTTAATATTTTAGAAATGTTTTTGAATGTGATGAAAATAGGTTTTAATTATTTACTTTATAGTGTGTATTTATAGTTTATAAACTTTAGTGATTTATAAGTTATGATAGACAATTTTTTTCAATTAGTTAATTAGTTGTACTTAAATTCTTATGAATTAATTTCAGGATCTGTAATTAAAGCATGGGATATAGGAATAGCAACTATGAAAAAGGGAGAAATTGCACTCTTAACTTGTAAACCAGAATATGCATATGGAAAAGCAGGAAGTCCCCCTAAAATTCCACCTGATGCAACATTAATATTTGAAATTGAGCTACATGATTGGAATTGGGAAGATCTATCTTCCAGTCAAGATGGAGGTATACAGAGAAAAATAATTGAAAAAGGAGAAGGATATGCAACACCAAATGATGGAGCATCTGTAGAAGGTATTTTATGGCAGTTTAGTTTTAATATTTGATACATTAATTTATGAAAAACAGAAGAAATGTTTTCTTTTTATATACATTCATATGTGCAAAGTTGTTGAAATTTAATTATATACCACTACAAAAATTTAATACTAAATCATCTGCTTGCTGAACAAGATAATTTAGTATTGAAAATTAAGAGTAAAATGTAGGAGCTTTTTTTGTTCTGATTTTTCCTAATATCTAAGTGTTAAGTTTTGCAAGATCACTTTATACAGCAGACAATCAAACTAAAATAACCAGCACAATTTTTTCATTTTTTAAAATTTCAATTCCTTTAAAACTCTGAATTTGATATCTAATTAATCTAATAGTATTAATTGGACAAATATTAAACCTGCAAGTTGATTAATGCTATATTTTATTTTGTTAAGTTGACTTTACCAAATATGTGGTAACATAATTTGTAAAGTCAATTAAACATTTCTCTTGTTAATAAAAACAAAATATCTACAAAGTTTTACTGATGGATAAATAATTTTATTCTGCAGTTTTAGATTATTATATTATGATCAATGCATAACTAAATATGTTTTTGAAATATTATATTTTATAAAGATTAAAAAAAGATTATAAAACTTTTCATAATAGATAAAAGAATTTTTAGGTTAAACATTAATTACAAGATTCTGGTATTTATATTTTTAATTATGAGTGACTGATTGCTTCTACTGGAATCTGACAAATTTGATTCATTGTTGTTGGCCTGCAATTTGAAAAAAAATTGTAATCTTTAAATTCCTACTGTTGTCTGTCTTTCCTTAACCCCAATTATTTTTTAAAATTCTGCTTGCAAAACCCCAATTTTTATTATTATTGATAATTAATATTCATTTAAGTAAAAATAAAGTATTTGATTTTACTTCTATCAGTTTGTACAAAATGATGCCTAAATATCACCCTTCCCAAAATGCATGCATTATATTGGAAAACTACTACAAAAATATATAATTTGAAATAAATGCTTTTAGTTATAAAAATGCTTTATAAATTTTAAATAACAAACCACAACAAGACACATGAGATAGTAGTATGGTGTTTATAACTGTTTGTCCTTGAGAACAGCTGCAGTTCACAGGCCATTTCCATGAACACCTCGAGGAAGTCAGTAACTTAACAGCTGTAAAATAGATTCTAATTATTAAAATAGATGTAAAATAGATTCTAATTTTACTCTAGAATGGAATTAGATAGATGAAATCCGAGACCAGATATGGGAACCTTAGGGGAAGAGGCCTCGATTACTATGTAAGAACCTGGTTTGCACCAGAAATTGTTATTTCAATTCAGATGTTTCCCCTAAAAGCAGTTAATAGATGACTGGCATGACTCTATTGTTAAAGGAAAAGTATGATATACAGGGGCAAGACACTATTAATTTGAGATAGAGTATATATTTTAAACTAGTAAATGAAACAGGCATTGCTTGGGCAAACAATTTGGATGATTTGGTAAATATTGTATGTTTGGAAATTAAGTTATTACTTTCAGAAACAAAATATTGCATCTAGAATAGTTCAGTAGAAGCCGTACTTCAGGTTAAGCCTTAATCCTCTTTCCCTCGCAGGGAATTTCCAAAAATCCCTTAGTGTGCATTTTCATGGCATACCCTGTGTACCAAATTTCACCACTTTAGGTTCAGCGGTTTGCTCTGGGAAATGATGAATCAGTCAGTCAGGACATGTAATTTATATATATAGATGAAATGAATTTAAAATATGATTAAAAATTAAACCCGGCATTTTGATGATGTTACAGTAAATAATCACTTGTTCAGTTATATTAATTTTTATTCATGTTATGATTATGTAAGATCGGTCATTCAATGATGATGATGATTATTAGTTTTGAATACAAATTTAGAAGTGCTACAAAGTGTTATAAATCTGGTGTTTATGATGAAAAGCTGATAGCTCTTACAAAACTTAAAACAGGAATCAAACATTTTTTGAATTAAGATCAGAATTGAATGCGGAATATATGTGGAAAATTTGAGTAGAAAATTCAGAATGAAAAGGAAAAATTTTATTCTAAAGTCATGAGTAGAGTTATGTCTTTCCTCTTTCCTGTTCTGTAACCAATAGATTAAATAATAATGTCTAGATTTTGATAACACATTACAAAGATTAATTAGTTTAATCTTTAATAGAATACAATAATGTACATTTATTAAATAACTTACATGCCGCATTTCATTTTAATTTTAAAAAACTTTAGTATTAAGACTCTCGTTTTAATATTTTAAATATTTATTTGGTGTAAGTTAATTTAATTTTTGATGTTTTTAGTTCATTTGATTGGTAAATGCAATGATAAGGTATTTGAAGATAGAGAAGTTAACTTTATTATTGGTGAAGGATCTGAAAGTAATATATTAGAAAGTATTGAGCATGCACTTCAGAAATTCAAAAAAGGAGAGAAATCACTTATTAAATTGAAACCAAAATATGCATATGGAGATGAAGGCCGACCTGACTTAAATATTCCATCAAATTCTGATGTTCAATATGAAATCCATTTAAAAAGTTTTGAAAAGGTTTGTATTTTTTTTTTTTTTTTCTCTTTGTAGTTATAAAATATTGGTGTGACTGTGCTTGTACGAATATTAACATATATTTATTTTTAGATTTTAATACATTCTCTTTATATGTTTAGGCTACATTTTTTTATAACTGCAGAATTTATGATCTTTCATTAAAGAACTAGCATCAATCAATTGTAATTGGTGTCATATCATCTTTTCCAGTAATATGTTTATATATCTGATACTAGAATAGTATATTTCTCATTTCATTATCTGATTTATTTGTATTAAATTTATCAGACTGCAATAAATTAGATATAAGATTTAATGATGACAAAATGTAAAGAATGAGTGAGAAATGGTTTTCTAAACTTACATATTGATTTATTATATGTATAATCTAATGCAACTTTATCTGGACTTAAACCATCAATATGATTTAATTAATAACAATACAGGTAAATCAAGCAGAGTTTTAAAGATCAATGCACTTTTGCTATAAAGGTCACAAAGAATAAATATTTAGTAGATAATAATTGTAATAAGCACACATTGTTTTAGCTGTCATTCTTTGGATTTCACAATTGTTTAGTTAATGTTTCAAGAATACCTTATTGTATTGCTCTTTTGTGCTTTCTATTAATTCTTCAAGAATACAATGTAAGTCTTTACTCACTGTTGCTGTAAAATAATCCATATATATATATATATATGGATTATTTTACATATAATATAATATAATATTTTACATATATAATATACAGATTATTTTACTCTGAACATTGTAGAACTCAATGAATCACTAACCATTCTGTAGTGAATAATAATTGTCTATTGGAAAGTTTACCTGCCATTCACTAGTATAGAATTCAGATCAAATCTCAAGCAATGAAGCATCAGATGAAATTATCAAGTCTACTAGAATATGTACTCATTAATCATTTGCTAATTGTTGTTTATAATAATTAGCATCTCCAGCAATTAATCATAAAGTGATAATTAATTCTCTAATAATTGGAATAATCAGTAAATAATTTTTTCATTACTTTTTAATGTTAATTTAATAATGTTTAAAGAAACAATAACTTTATTAATAATAATTCAAGATAATTATGGCAATGCATCAAGTTCCATTAGAAACCATTAGTTTTAAATCTTGATTCAAATTTTTATTCAAACTGAAAATCTTTTATCATGGTTCTAATAAATTTTTAGAATTATAATCAATTCCATTTAATTGGGTTACATAGGCACATGACTAATTTGTCCCAGTAAAGTGAATTTTAAAAGAACAAGCAAAATTGAAGATAAAAAAAATGAGCAATAAAGCCAAAAACAATGTACAGTAGAGTGTTGTTTATCCGAAGGTTGGTTATCCGAAGGAATTCCAGTGGCAAATTTAAATATTCGCCAGTGCTGTGGCGCTGTAATCTTTGGCTATGTCTTCGGCTACTCAAATATTTTACGTTTTTGATACTAAATTAACTTTTGAAGTATAATTTTTTGTTTTTATATTTTTCAATATATTTATTTTGTTCGTACAAAATAAAAAAATAATTTTTAATGATACAATAGTCTTTGTTATGTTTAACATTGACGAAAATTCAACGCGAAGCGACACGCAACAGAGAAAAATTTTAACACGGGATAAATTAATATATTTTTTCGTACATAATTGGTTATCCGAAAAATAAGTTATCCGAACAACCCCAGTCCCCAATTGATTCGGATAAACGACGCTCTACTGTAGTTGTTTTTATGATTTATAATTTATTTTTTATTAAACATTAAGAATAATAAGTTATATTAAGAATAAAAAGTAAATTATAAATATTTTTGAAATTGTAGCAGCAATAATCAAATGTGATTAGTACTGATAGTGGACATTTTGGTTCCTAATTTTTTGACATTTTATGAAATGCCAAATTTAATTGTTACCTCTCACCCTCAATATAAAACATGGGATATCATTAAATTATAAATTGATAAGATGAATATGAATATTTTTCACTTTATATATATATATACAGTAGAACCTCTATTATCCAGATCTCTATTAAAATAAATAAATAAATTTACGGATTTGCTGATTTGCACTTGGCGAATTCCGACACTGTTTATGTATGTGATGGAATGCATAACTTTTTTCATTTCAATTACATCATTTCTATGACCAAGGGCAACATAAGACATGGATGACGTGGGCCACCACCTATGCCTCGTGGTCTGAAGGGCCTCGCACCTCAAAGGTTTATGCATAACTTGAAAGCCGCGAATGCGATGAAAAAATTTTACTTATCATAAAACAATAAATAGTTTGTCAAATTTTTATTCATAAAAATTCAGTTTCAACTGCTTTTTATTTTATAAAATCCGTCTTCTTGCGCCACCAGAGGGCCTTTTAAACGATAGGTAGTCTGTTAGTGCTGGTCAGTAGTAGTACAAATTCAATACAAACATTTGTTTCTTGAAAATTTGATCATGATTTAAATACAGTATTTATTTTTAATATTGCCGATATGTCATCAAAAAGAAAACGTGTTGTATTATCATTAAAAGACAAATTAAAGTATTTGTTTTGATTATCCGAATTTTCCCTTATTCAGACTACCTTCATCCCCAATTAGTCTGTATAATCGAGGTTCTACTGTATATATAAGTAAAAATTTATCAAAATTTTATTTTACTTCTATAATAAAAACATTGTTATATGAAACTGGAAAATTTTTCAAAGTTGGAAAATGATTTAAAAATTTGATAATAATTAGAAATATTTTATGAAAACAAAACCAGTCTTACATATATTCAGAATTTTCTGATTGTTAACTTCAACATTTGTTCAAATCTTTTTGTAATTACAGTACATTTCTTTTGCTTATAAGATGAATAATAATTTTGTAAATTAACTTTAAAACAATATTTTTTTTATTTAAAGATCTATTTTATAGTATAATTATAAAGTAATTAGAATTAATTTATAATTCTTATATAATTTATATTGTATAGAGTTGTTATATTTTATTTGGTTAATTTTGTAAAGTGTATAAATGAATTTTATTTTTTTAAATTAAAATCTTTATAATTTTGTTTTAATTCTATTTTTAGGAAAAATTTTATCGGATGTTCAAATAATTAACCCCGTATTTGATTATGTTCCACCTGAATTGGTCACATTGTTTGTTTTAAACATGTAAGTATACTTTAAAAAGAGAAATTAAATTCTTTATTTTTAACAATGAACCGAAATATACTAGATTTGTTTTATTATTATTATTATTCTTACTCTTATTACACTTCCTTATTACTTAAATAAATATTAAATTAATTTGACTTAAAGGTTTTGGAAAGATTGGATGATCATGAGCATGGGCTATGAATAAGAAAAAGTAGTTCAAATTTGAGAAAAAAAATCATATACAGATAAATCAGAATATTTATATACAGGAAATTTTATTTAATGTTATATTTGCAGTATCTGTGTACTGTATTAAGAGTGATTGAAAGGACACACAAAAACAAATTAATTTATGAAAATAATTTTTTTAAACATGCTTTTACATTATGCAATACACTTAATCCTTTTAGTTCCCAGCAATTTTTGATATTAATGTAATTAAATATAAAAAATACTTAAAACTGAAAAAAAAACAAAAGAAATGCGTTAATTTTGAAGAAAAAGCTTCAAATTTTATTTTCCATTGTCTGGTCTTTCTGTGAAATCTGACAAGGATGAGTCATTGTGTTTACAGCTGGATGACCTTGAGAACAGCTGGTGTTGGATTTCCCAGGACATTCTCATAGAAGTCTCGGGAGGCGAAGGGTTTAAAGTCGGGTGAATACTAGTTGGCCGTATATTTTAAAATATTTTTAAAAAATTAAAATTTTTATTGCGATTTCCGATCCCCCCCGATTTAATTAAACGTATATATAATAAATTATATTAATTAAAAAAATTAAAAACCTATTGGAGGTCGTTTTTGATATCAGAAAGTAGCTTTAAATAACTTTACAGAAGTAAAATCCGTGCACTACAACTTTAGAACGATTAATTAAATTTGATAAAAAAATCCCANGTAAAGCATGAAGGCTTAGCTTGCTTTCCAATGACTAATAACTTTTGTTTGTCACCTGTTGGCATATTACAACAACACAATGTGACAATGCAATCCATTTTTTTTTTTTTATCAGGACTAAATTTCTGCAGCCATTCAAGTAACTTAGTTGATTTTCACACTTTGGCACTCATAGTATCAGCACTGGTTTTTTCTTTTTTTTTTTTTCTACCATGTGTCCTTTAAATTTTACTCCATGTTGGGTTTTTCATTACAATAACCACCCATCTGTAACTTTGAAATTCATGTAACCCATCTTTCTAGCTAACTCTTCTGATTTTGTTTTTAACATCGGCCCATTAACATGTACTCCTCCTTGCTGCATATGATGTCTCAATAAAGTGCTGGGATATCCCAAATAAGTGAAGTAAGTTTGCCTTATATTATCGCTTGTTTTCATCTTTCAATATATGTCTCAAATGAATGGCAGTCCAATTAATTGAAATGCACTGTGTATATTTTTTTAAGGAATTAACTTCAATCTCATTCATAACCAATTATTACATTTCATTGATTAGTTTTAGGCACCATTTGCCTATTCTTGAAAGAAATTTTTCATTTTTAAACAAGTAGATTGTTCCAGTTTCATTAACAGCCATCGTCATTGTAGAATTACCGAACTTATTATACCAAGATAGGATTTATTGATGATTTTCTAATAAAGCAATAATTCTTATCCTGGTATAATAAGTCTGGTATTACTGAGATGATGATGGTTGTTAATGGAACTGTGAAACATGAAGTAAATACAGGAAAGTAGATTGTTATTACATTGCAAATTATTTTGTATTGTTTTGTTAACTACATTGTACTCAAAAGAATGCCTGATGTGTGGAAATAGTTATAACTTAAGTCAATAGTTATAACTTAACTCATCACTGATGGAAAAATGCAACTGTTAGAAATATAAGCCATTGTGCTTATTTGCACAGAATGGTGTTGGTATTAAAGCACCAAGAAAGTATTTAATTCATGATCTACATTAAAAACGATCATGTTAATTCAAGATGCTGTTTCATTAAGAAACTTAGTTTACCATGATAATTTTGGTTATACTATTTTTAAATTTTTACTAAATTATCACAGTACATAATTCAGAATTATTAATATTTCTGTAATTCATAATTATTATTACAAATAAGTTAGGTTAATTATATCATATTTTCATGGATTGTCTGACAAGTCAGTCTATCCAGGGAAACCATAAAATTTGATATTTCCATATGGTAAAAACTTGCATGCTGGTTTAAGTGAGGTTAGACATCCCTCTTTAGAGGGCACATGAAAAAACAAATGAATTGCATTATGTAAAAATGAAGGAGTGTTTATTCTAAAACTGTGAAACTTAGCATTATATCAAAAACTATTGTTATGTGTTTAATTTCTTTGTTTTGTCTTCTTTCTAAGTATATAAAAGAGGTGGAATTCCAAAAGTGCTTTTTTATGTGTATTTTTTTTAATGTATTTTGTTCTTTGATTTGAAAAAACAAAAAATAAACATATTAAATTTAAGAAACTCCCTGAAAATTATCTGGACACCAATTAACATCAGCTTTGTGTGAAATTTGAGAGGTGGGTGTTATTTTTAAGATCAGTGTAGCCCACTGACTAACTAATACTGCTAATGTCAATATAAGTTAATTGTTTTATTGTCTTGTAAATGAAAATTCTCTTCCTGATTTTAAGTCAGTCAAATTACAATGTTGTTATTTTATTGTATTTGGAAGAATGTTATATAAATCTATAATTAGTAACTAGTTTTGTTAGATCTGATTAATTTTATATTTTAGTTTCATTTTAACTGGCATACTGGTAACCTTGAGGTTTCTGGTATGCTGATCTTCCATTTATATGTGGCATGCCAGATATTCCATGAAAATACTGTATTAGGTTATCTGAGAATAGGAGGTGACCTACCAGAGGCATTAAGGGAGCATAGGAAGAGAGAGGGCATAGCACTCCAAGCATTTATAATTTAAGAATCCTGTGTAGCCAATGAAGAGAGTTGTTTTTTACATATCAGCTGCATCAGTTTTGAGTAACTTATATAGCCAATCATACAGTTCCCATTTTTAACATCTTGCATATCAAATAACCAGGCTTGTTAAAACAGTGTATGGATGGGATGCTAATTAAGATGATTTCCTTTATTATGTTAATATAAAAACATACTGACCCTTTTTCATTGCAGTGGTGCCATCATGCTACATGCCTGCATGTAACAAATGGTCTTGGGGGAACAAAACAATAAAAGCCTTTTTTTTCTTTGTGTACAAACTAAATCGCTGACTACTAAAATTAATAGTAGTAACCCAAATTGATCAGGATGATTATGTAATTTATTTTTCAATATTTTCATACAACTTTAAACTGGAAATAAATAATAAAATATATGTTTAGTTGACAGCTACTAAGCAAAATTAGTATTATAAAAAGTTAAAACTAAAAAAGGCTGTATAAAAAATTTTTTATAAAAATCAAAAGTTTATATATTAAATGCTTGATAACAATTAGTTAATGATTAACTTTTCAATTAGATGATTATACAATCCTGATTACTTATCATCAATCACCTAACTTGACAATTGTTCCAGTCTTAGCTAACTGCCTTTTCTTTTTCACAGTATATTACAAGAAATTGATTTTGAAAAATAATCTAACTTGTTTGCAATGATTGATAGACGTTCTGGAATAAAAGAAAATAAGCTTTGTCATTATTATTTTATTTACTTGCCTCTATTTCAGAATAATATGCAAAATCATTGCCTATACTAATGTCATGTGCATTTAAATTGTTATTATATATGTTTAAAACTTGTCTTGTTTTTTTCTCAATATCCTGAATTAGAATGCATGAACTCATTATATGCTACATTTTTCTAATTGCCCAAAATATCAGACTGGCAGATTATGGCACTTGATCTTTTATAATCTTGTATTATCCATGTGATTTAACTTAAAATATATAAAATAATATTTTTTCTTTGTAATAGAATGCATTGATTTATCTCAATTATAAATTTTTTATTAAGAGCTTATTTTTTAACCAAATTTACTATTCTTCTCAACTGTACTCTCTTTTTATATTAGATTTACACTCATTATTACAGTAAGTTCTCAACCATATCTTGGTGTAATATGGCCAGTAAATCAGTAAATGCTGTAATATTATCAAACTACCATACAAATGAACAATTATTGTTCATATGAAATAGTTTGCCCATCATGTATCAATCATTCCGATAATTATAAATAGAATTTACATAAAATCATATTTAAGCATTAATATTATTTTAAGTTTAATAATTATAAATTTCCAATTAATTTTTTAAAATTTATATTAGATACTATTGAAAGAAATTTCTGCTACAAGGACAAGAGGATCTACATCTCAATGTTAACCAGTCATATTAAAACACATACTTCAGATGGTTTGTTGAATTTAGTAAATTTTTTGGAAATAAATTAATAAAACTTTCAAACATTAAAATAAAAATATGCATAATAATTGTATACACTTATAATTGAATTCAATGTTTGTACAATATTATGTTTTTGTCTGTCTTGTTTATTTAGCTCGAATAAGTCTAAAGTAATTTGATATCTGAAAAGTTTTAAATATTTAAAAAATTATGTTAATATTTTTATTAAACAATTTATTTATTAAGAACATTATATTTATTAAATGACATTTATTCCAACAGTTATTAAATTTAAATTTCTATATTTATTATTGGTTCTTTTGCTTTGAAGAAAAATGACTCTACCTCTGTTCACAAATTTTTAACAGATACTTATCAGCAGAAATATAATATTTCTTAAATGATCATATTTCAATGTATCTTTAAATTCTTTTTTTAAAAAAATGCTTGATAGTATGAAAATAGATCTTAAAATGTCTTGAATGTTTCATCTCTAAATGGCAATATTTATGAGAAAAACAAAAATAAGTTATGTAAAATGCAAACATTTTTTTCCTAAATGTTTGCTAGATGCAGATGCTAAATCATTAAAATTCAGTAAATGATGATAGAAAATAACTATTTTAGAATGTTTATTTCATATAAAGGTGATAACATTAGAAAACTTAGTTCTTATAATTGATGTACTGTATTTATTGATTTTCTTATTAAATATTTTTGCAATTAATTTATGATTTATAACCATATGTTCCAATGATCTTTCAGTGGGCTATTTATGAACTTTTTTGTATTATGTTCTTGCAGTTCACATTTCTAATTTTCTTCTGTCTTCTATGATTTTCCTATAAAATGTTGTTGTTGTAAAACTCAAATTTAAAATTTCTCAGCATAAGATTAATAGTGGTCCTACATTAGACTAGTAGTGCATGATGAATGGGCTATTTTTGAGCTTTATTAGTATTATGTCCAGTTTTTATCCTAAACAATATATGCATCCAGTGATTAAGATGAACAGTGTAATCAAAGATAGATTTTGAATTCAAAAATAAATATTGTCAATAGAAATAAGAATTTATCTTTCTGAATACAATTACAAAAATAAAAATAATTATTATTATTATATTAATTTATAGAAAACTAATATTTTACACACACACAGACACACATACAGTTTCATCAAGATATGGTTGATGCAAATTATAAATTCTAGCTTGTAGTTTTACATTATATTGGTCAGTTTGAATATCAATCTTAAGCTTCAACATTTGGTTTAGAGTTTAAGAATACTAATTTTTTTTTTCTTTAAATCAAGCTTTTAATATTTGAATTTAGTGAAAATTAATATATAAAAATAGAAATTTAGAAAAAATTATTGGATAAAGTTATATTGGTTATTTTAAATAAAATTTCTATATATAATGAGAATTTTATGAAGAGAGTAATGTTTTCTCATATATTTTTACATTTTTATAATCATTATAATTTTTAGATTAATAAATAATGCATATACTTTTAAAAACCAGAAATTTGTTCTATTGTGTCATTTTCATACAATAATTAGATGTTGACCCCCAAATCCTTTCAGCATATGCAATGTTTTTGATATATCCCCACAACACTGTCCATTATGATAAAATCTGGATGATGACTAGGTTTTAGTCTGTGAATAAAACCTGAAATAGAAAAGTTTTATCATCATTTTTACTTTCCTGGCTATTATATATAAGAGGAAAAGTATAGTAATCAGTAAAAAATTGATCTCCAAGATTTTTATCATTTTGGACTCAAGACCTTAAAACATAGAGAAATACAAGAAAATTCAGGGTTTTTTTTATGTATAGTTGTTACTGTGTGTGTAGGCATGATTTTGTTCATCCACTTTGAAACTTAATAACTTTCATGCCTTTCATTGAAAATTTCTGAAATTTTCTAGGTTTATGTATTAGGGGATTGATGCTATTAAATCTTGGTGTTTAAAGGTCAGAGGTGGGGAAATAGAGTGAATTGTGTGTCATATCTCAAATAGGGTCAGACTTGATGATTTTACTTGTTATTAGCATTTACAATTTTTTTTATAAAACTTGTCCATATCCTCAAAATTAAAGCTTCTTGCTATTTTATAATAAAAATATAAAAAGTTATTTTAATAAAATATAATAACAGATGGTGCCAAACATGGTTTTAAATGTTGTTGCCATGAAAGTTTTCTGGATTTTTTGTTTAGCATTAAAGTGGGAAATTCTTAATGTATACTGTTCATCAGGTTTAATGTCATGCTTCAGCAAAATCTTGGAAGCATGAAGGTGAAAATGCTTGTGAAGGACGTTTTGAATTGTAGTTTTTGGAATCAATTTCTCTCATGAAAAATTGCTTTAAGGATCCTTACACCACATAGTCTAATGTGTTTGACACATTATTCCAAAGTATTTGGTTAGCCTGTAGATTTATTTGTGGTACTTCTCCAATTTTCTGAACTGTTGCAAGCAATGATTAATAAATGCTTTGCAATCTAATGCTGTTTGTCCAGAATATAACTGTTGCCACATACATTGAACTGCTACAACTGGTTTCAATTTAATTTATTGTAAAACAAACAACACTTTCTATTTCATGGGCCACATGACTGAGTGCAAGAACAAGGCTAAGAGTTAGCATATACAAATTCTATTTATTCTATAGTATATACAAATTCATATATATATATATATACACACAAATGCACTGCACATCTCAAGATCAATGGCATCTCANTTTTATATTTTTCAATATATTTATTTTGTTCGTACAAAATAAAAAAATAATTTTTAATGATACAATAGTCTTTGTTATGTTTAACATTGACGAAAATTCAACGCGAAGCGACACGCAACAGAGAAAAATTTTAACACGGGATAAATTAATATATTCTTTCGTACATAATTGGTTATCCGAAAAATAAGTTATCCGAACAACCCCAGTCCCCAATTGATTCGGATAAACGACGCTCTACTGTATTGAAAAATAAAATTAATATCCAGTGTAAATACTAATTCATCTATAAATAAATTCCAATTCAAAATTAACATTAAAATACAATCATTAATCAAAAAAGAATGATTATTTTTGCAGAAATTTAGCAAGCATGGCTTGATGCATTTTCTTCATAGTTTGCAAAGGCACAAAATTGGAACAGGCATCCAATGCAGAAATGGGACTTTCTTCATTTACTTCTTGCATAAAATATTCATCTGACTTCAGAAATAAGTTTTCTGGCTTTCTAGTCACTGTCTTGATCATGAGTGTGTCT